AAAACACGTTCCAAACACCATACTGAAAATACAGTGTAGAATCATATTTTGAAAACACAAACAAACAGAGCCTTTATTTTTTTCTTCCTCTCTTCTCCCCCTCTCCTCCATACCCGAAACCCTAGCCCTAAAAGTCTTGATTTCATCCATTTTTCACCTAGAATCCACTATGGATCTTGCATTAAAGATGAAGAACAAGTGAAGATGAGCATTTTTAACAGATTGTATCTTGGTTTTGTGAAGGATTCTCTTAGAAATCTTGCTCTCTTGCTCTTTTCTTGAGGTAGGATTACTTTTAGTTTTATATCTCTTGATTTTGAGGATGATTATTTGGTATTATTGTGACATTGATGCTATAATTAAAATTTTAGAGTTTACAAAATTGGGTTTTGTTTAAAAAATGAGATTTCCCCTACTTTCTCTTGAGATTTTTATTAATGGCTATGAATTATGGAAATTTTAGTTTGAAGATAGTATTTTACATGGTTTATGGGCAAAAGTCCCAAATTTATGAAAACCCTAGTTGTCAAATTTGGAGAAAATATGAAATTGATTTCAAATCTTTAAATTCATGAATGGATTATGATATTTTGAATATATATTACTTGAGATTTATGAATTTGAAAGCCTTTGAGATTTTTCTTCAGAAATATGATGATTATGTATCTATAATAGTGCAATTATTTGCATGGTAATATTTATTTTTGTTCTCATGGATGTATAAATGCGTAGAATTTATGGAAACAGTGGAAATATTGTTTTAAGGGAGTGGTAAATGTAACGCCCCAACCCTTCACACGTCATCGATATTGTCCGCTTTGGGCCACGCCTGCATGGATTTGTTCTTCTCACCACCCGGGAAAAGGCCTCGATGCTATATAAGGGTCTAGGTTTTTACTTTTATAGCTCAGGAACTCCTCATCTATTCGCAATGTGGGACACCGGGACCTTACAATCCACCCCCCTTAGGGCTGCACATCCCCGTACAGTAGTCTACCAGCTCGCAAGCTCGCCCACATGCACTGAGAGAGGGGCCCACACTCAGTACTCTAGAGAATTGACTTTGATACCATTTATAACGCTTCAACCCTTCATACGTCATTGATATTGTCCGTTTTGGGCCACACCCGCACAGATTTGTTATTCCCAGTGGGTCATCCATCACAGAACTACTCTAGCCTAAGCATGCTTAACTGGGGAGTTCTGCTAGGAATCTCATTGGCTAGTAGTTCTTATACCTATTTTGCTGGTTTGTTTCTAGTCTGGTAGGGCTGGAATCACAATATGGGTTTGGTAAATTTCTAGTTCCAAATCGAACTCTAGAATCCATGAACGAATGGAACAGCAGATGAGTTTGATGAATGAGTCATTGCCAAAATGCCTTCTCACATCACATGATTGACTGGTGAATACTCCCAAAAAAATCATTTTTATTTTATTTGATTTTATTCTACATAGAGTGGAAGTGTGCGGTAGAGTGACTTTTCGGAGACATAGGGGCAAATGTTTTGGATAATTCTCCAACTATGATTAGCTTTGAGTATTGTTGTTCTCATCTCATGTTGCACTTGGCCTATGTGCCAAGCCATTGCTTAAAAAGAGATTAAATTCTGTTGGCATTGTTCTGTAATATGCTAGGTATTTAGGAATCAATGAAATAATGCGACCACATAAAAAGTGGGCCGTCTTAATTTTATCTTCTATACACATGCAGTCTCTCACCAATCTATTCAGCTCCGTCCCCTTTTCCTCCCATTTCCCTCCCTTGAGTGACCACTGTATCGTTGGTAAAGTTAAATATCAGTGGTTGATTATATAATAGTGATTTGGCGAGGCATTTTGTTACAGAACATGGCTTGTTTATCAAAGGTCTTGTTCGTTGGAAAGAGATTTCTGGATTCGCAAAATTGTTGTCCTCAAAATTCTCTTACACACGTATATACAGTAATGGATTGAGGGAGTGGTTGACAGGGGCGACCGTTACCCTAAAGTTTTTTAAAAACTCCTTCAATATAGTGTACTAGTTAACAATATGCCTAAATTATATACATTCGCTACCCCAAGATTTTTTTGAAAAAATTGATTCTCACACCCCTATTATTGGGAAGAGGATGTCAAAGAATGCAGAAACTGAAACGTTACTAATTACAGCCTCTTCAATTATTAAATCAAATCAAATAAAAACTTAAACTTCATTCATCATTAAAACGTTACTAACTATTTAATGGATTAAGGGTGGCACACCTTAATTTAAAGTGTATTAAGGGTGGCATAACAGTGACTGTTGTACCTTAATTTAAAGTGTATTATGAGCTTATTTTTATGATCCGAACCGTTCATTTTGTAGGGTTTGTTGAGTACTTCATGCCTACCAAAAATCATATTAATCGGATATCAATAACTATATGATCGAATTGCATATTGTTTATACTATTTCTCAAAAGAAAAACTTATTGTTTATTTTTTTTGATTATCGATCATATAGTTATTATATCCGATTAATATGATTTTTGGTAGGCATGAAGTACTCAACAAACCCTACAAAATGAACGGTTCGGATCATAAAAATAAGCTCATAATACACTTTAAATTAAGGTACAACAGTCACTGTTATGCCACCCTTAATACACTTTAAATTAAGGTGTGCCACCCTTAATCCATTAAATAGTTAGTAACGGTTTCATGATGAATGAAGTTTAAGTTTTTATTTGATTTGATTTAATAATTGAAGAGGCTGTAATTAGTAACGTTTCAGTTTTGATTAGAGTTAGTTAGTAACATTTCAGTTTCTGCGTTCTTTGACGTCCTCTTCCCAATATTATATAGTGATCTCTGTCAGAATTGCTTCTCCTATATTCCTTTCCCTCTTCATAAACTTTTTCATGGAGCGATTTTCCTGCTTGATTTTCCCGAGAAAATCCTAGTGACATCCTAAGAGAGAACCAAAACAAAACCCACTTTGCAAATTGCATATATCTTGGTGAAGATATTCTCTTTCTTCGAATAATAATAATAAAAGTGTTTTCATTATGTCAAAGACTGAGGGCGTTCATGTGAGTCTGAACCGTGCGGCACCACCGCAAAGCAGAGTGAATGCCAACTTTCCGGAGGGTTTGAGTGTTCTTGTGGTTGATGACGACGTTGTCTGCCTCAAATGTGTTACTGCTCTTCTCAACAAGTGTCGCTATAAAGGTTTCTATTCTCTATATATATATATATATATATAGGCTTCGTTTGGGAAGTTGCTATTTTAGTAGGCTATTTTAATTTTTGACAATTTTAGTAGGCTAAAATTTTTGTGTTTGGGAAGATGATTGGATTTTTTTGTGGTTGGATGTGATATTTGTGAGAGAAAAAGTGAAATGATTATGGGTTTAATGTGATATTTTGTCTTATTAGCTATTTTAGCCTATTTTATCTTTTTGTGAATTTTAGCCTAAACTAAGCTATTTTTTTTCTTGCCAAACACCCCCATAATAAAAAATATATGTACAGGTCTATGTCAAATAATTGTTTTTTTAGGGCGGGTAATATCAAATAATAAATAATTGTTAATCCTATAACACAATGACCGTCTGCTGGCAAGCACGACGGGAGTAAGAAGCAACCCCCCCCCCAAAAAAAAGAATGTTATATCAAAACAATAAACCGTCCAAATCGACCTCAGGTGACTAGAATAAAAGTATATAGAAATGATCGTTCTATCCGAATATTCATTCTTTTAACAAAATTGATGAAAAGTATATTAAAAATAAAATTATCATTGACCATTACAAAAAAAAAAAAAAAACAGTAATAATCGTTTTATTTCATTCCACTTTCACTCTAGTAAGAAAAAAGCTTCTTAAGAGTGTTGTTCCAAAAATAATAATAAATTAAAAAGATTTCCATTCCACTTTCATTCCAAGAAACCAAACACTTCTTAAGAGTTTTGTTCCAAAAAACAAAAGTTTAAAAAAAAACTTTAAACAGATGACACGGTTAGCAATCAGCAACCATTCATGGCTTTCTTTGGAATACAATAAAAATGGTGATGTGGCATCAGAACCACCCTTTAAAAGGGCACACAAACGGACTACACATCTCTAAACCCATATGCCTTAATGGCTTTTATACCAACAATCATGTTACCAAACAAAGAATGGCCGCGTTTAGTGTAGCTATTAAAACAAATTATAGATTATAGTTTAACAGATTATAGATTATGACTTTAATCAGAAGTTATTAATCTGTTTGGTGTAACTATTGAATTATAGATTTAAGTTACTGAGTAGTGTTTGTTAAACAAGCTGTAAATGAGCTTTTTCAATTAATTTTTATTATTCACTACTCGTCTACATTTCTCATAAAAAATAATAATAATATTCTATAGTCCATTTGAATCTTTTTCTATTTTTAAAAAAATAAAAAATAAAAAAATTTAAGAGTATAACAGGAAATTAACATATCTACAGCAGAAGTTGATAATCAAAAACAAGGGGCGAGCAGCTTCTCAGAATCAGATTTTTTGATTTAAAATAAGCTGTTAGAATTAGAAACTGTTTGAAATAAGTTTAACCAAACAGTCCAGAATAACTTTTCAAACGGCAGAAGCCATAAATTGACTCAAAAAAGCCCAAACAAACACCACCAATGTACACCATCCCGAAATTTATTTATTTTTTTAACATTACACCAAAAAAGAACACCCTACATGTAATCTTACAACATAAAGCAAAAGTTCTGCATCACAAAACCAGAATTTTTTTATGTAACTGAGTTGTTTGACCAATACAAAATCAATGTATGCCGAGAATTTATAGAAAAAAAGAACCCCACCCATGAATGGAAACAAGGCATATCTGCCTATTAAGGATATATACACATAATAGAGTACACATATATAAGAGGCTCAGGAGTGGAATCATGAATGGAGTCAAAACCATTACACAACATGAAAATCAGGGTTGACAGTAAACAAATTAAGCGACGCACAGATCTAAAAGGCTAACACACATATGTAAAACAAAAAGGCAACTCAATGCCCGAGTCATCATTTAAGGAAATGGATTAAACCAGAGTCATACATCATATTTCTCTCCCGTTCGGAATAAAAATTACAGAAATATGTTATTTCTCAATTCATATAACTGAATCTCGATGAACAACAACTCCATTAGCAGCCTTCAAATGTGGGGTTTATAAGTTAAAAAAATCCATCCAAAATGGAAAATTGGGTTTGGGAGTAACTCCCTCTACAACTGAATTATTAAAGACAAAAATTGGGTTCGGGAGTAACTCCCTCTACAACTGAATTATTTAAGACAAAAAATTGCCGGGTTGAATTCTCGGAACTTGATAATGTTTTTCATCACCATCTACTGTAAAAGGCAAAGTAAGGAAGAATACCCTCATTTAAGCACCACCAGATCCATACTTCTTCCCAAGGACAATCTCCTGCAGTTTATCATAACCAGCAAGCACACCAGCACCAGCAACAGCACGAAGAATGTTTGCACCAGCACCCTTGAAGAGAGACTTGGGACCCTCGTTCTTCAGGATCTGAGAGAATGCATCGAAGGAACTCTTGTATTTGACAGCCTCACCAGAGGTCATCATCATTCTTCTCCGAACAGTATCAATTGGGTATGATGCAAGGCCAGCACCATTGGTGATGACCCAACCAAGGGCAAAGCTAGCGAAGAAATTATCCTGAAAGCATCAAATACAGAAGAAAAAAAAAATTATAGTCATGCTATATGGTAATTGACAGAATTCCATTTAAGACTAACCAAAGAATCAAATAGGAAAATGTCTCGTAGCTCAAATTTGTGGCTCAAAAGTGGCTCAAATGGCCAAAACGACGTCGTTTTGTCATCATCATTCTTCTCCGAACAGTATCAATTGGGTATGATGCAAGGCCAGCACCATTGGTGATGACCCAACCAAGGGCAAAGCTAGCGAAGAAATTATCCTGAAAGCATCAAATACAGAAGAAAAAAAAAATTTTAGTCATGCTATATGATAATTGACAGAATTCCATTTAAGACTAACCAAAGAATCAAATATTAAGCAAAAATTTTATTCTGACTACTAAACAAAGTAAATCACATAGTAGAAAAACATTTCATTGGTGTTATTGAAAAATAAAAAGGTAACAAAAAAACCATTTTACTTGCACTGTTATACATAATCAATGGCAATTTATCACATAGAGGCCAATTACGCATGTGAACTGCAACAGTAACCGTTAACAAAAATAGAATCTGCAAGGAACTGACGCGCTTTTAACTGAACATAAATTACTAAATTCACTTGAAACTTGAAAGTAGTAGAAGAATGCAACATTCCCAAAGAAAAGTACTGTTGCAGCCTCATTTTGTGGCCATATCATCATAAAACATTCAAAAAGATCACACACAAGTTACTAACCTGCAATTTTCCAGTAAGGACCACCGGCTTCAGAGAATCATACATTCCAAAGTACAGACCACGATAGACAATGATCCCAACACATGAAATATTGAATCCTCGGTAAAGGCCGGCAAGGCCATCGCTAGCTAATGTCTTCTTGTAGACATCAACCAAGCCATTAAATTGCCTCTCTCCTCCCTTCTTTGCAGCCTTTGCATCATTTGCCAAACGGGTTCGAGCATAGTCCAATGAATAGACAAACAACAGAGAGGAAGCACCAGCTGCACCACCAGAGGCCAGGTTGCCGGCAAACCATTTCCAGTAACCATCCCTATCTTTCTTAAAGTTGAAAAGCCTCTTGAAGTAGTCTTTAAAGGCAAAGTTCAAGGCCTGGTGCAATTTCCAAAAGCTAAATAAGTATAAAGCAGGAAAAAGCATTTTACGAAAAAATTAATGTGGGGGGAAAGGAAAGAAATAACTAGCCTGAGTTGGGAAGTAACGGATGACATTAGCAGTGTTCCCTCTCCACAATGAAACAAATCCTTCTTCCCTAATTGTTCGGCCGAAACAATCACCAATGCCGTTGTATGGTTCAGAAAGTCTTCCACTTTTAATCATCTCATCCTGATTCTGGATCAAAAGCTTCACACGCTCAATTGGGGCGGCAGCTGTTTTGGATACAGCTGCAGAGACTCCACCCATAAGAAAATCAATGGCAAAGCCAGCTAAGCCTTTCTCCGCAGGGGCTTGGACAAAAACAGGTGATCTGGTTAAGGCAACCACAGATAAGTCCTGTGTTGCTCGACATGGCTGCAACATGGGAAACTTCAAAGCAGCATTTGTGTAATTCCCATATTGGAATTGTCTCTGGTACATAGAAGGTCGTTGGAAACCACTCCCATATGCCTGAAGACCTTGAGTTGGGCTTGATCTAAGAAGAAGCTGTACAAGGAAGAACAATCATTCTCAAAGAAAGATACCAAAAAATAGCCATCTAAGAAGCCCTTATCTTAAAGGGGATGTACATTGACCAACCATAAAGAAATTCAAACTCTTTTTTTAGTTCTGAGGATGAGGATTGAGGAGGATCCAATAAAATTGCCTTATTATTAGAGGAAGGGAAAGAAAGAAATTCAAACTCTTTTTTTAGTTCTGAGGATGAGGATTGAGGAGGATCCAATAAAATTGCCTTATTATTAGAGGAAGGGAAAGCTACAGTTTTAAACAAACAGAAGAAAAACAATGGTGGTATTACCATAATCCATATATGAATAGACCAAATTAATTGAGAATACCAAGAAAAAAAAAACAAAAAACAAAAAAACATTCAAACAGGTTGTACAGAAACTCTACATATCCTAACAATTATATACAAAATAATATTTCTACATGTGAGATTATCCTTCATCTTCTCCGCCAGGCTTTATAGCCAACAGTGATGCAATAGCATTTTCAATCTTCAGCCGAAAAACCCAGTTCATGAAGTTCATCCAGCACAGCTCCACCAGGCTATATAGCCAATGTTCCATTAGGGTTAGCCGAAAATATGAGAATGGAAGAAGATTAATTTCAATTATCCAGATTCTTCTTCAAGACACTTCTGTCTTAAAAAGTGATGCAGCAAATTCATACATCTCATACCAATCCCTATTGGTATATGGAGGAACCGGCTAACAGCATTATAACTGATGATACAAACAAGGGACACTGAATCCCAGTTTGACCAGTTCAATGTACTGATCAGGTAAGCTTTTGATGAAAGGAAGTCAGGAATTGCTTACACAAAACAAATCTTCCACCACCACAATTAAACAGATAACAAATAACTAAATAAAAGAAAAAATAAAATTAGAACTCCAACAAAAGGTAAAATCTAAAAGTCCAGTTGTGATACGCACCAAGCAAAATAAACACTTTAGAACCAGAGACATCGTACTTCTCAAGCGTAACAGTTATCGAGACTGGACATAAATCTAATGATTAAAGGCAAAAGCAAAAATAAAACATAACCAAACTGCCAATATGACGTAAGGGTGGTTTATTCCCTGCCAATTGCATCCTTTTAGCAACACTTATGGACAAACATCGTGGATAAGCCTTGAAAAGAGGATATGTCATATGATACACAACTAATAACAAACAAGATAATCACATGTTGTAAGTACACTATCACTGTGCATAAGTGAGGAGAGGAAAAGACCAAAGAAAAAGTTTAGAGTGGGACAAATAATTGAGCTCATCAATTGAAACACTTTTATATAAAATTTAAGCACAGGCCACAACATATAAGCAACAGTCAAACAAAATGCATGCTTGGCCAGCTCTTGGAAACCAAAATAAACAATCTCACAGTTGTTTGCTGTTATTCTCTGGATAACATATGTGAGAAGAAAATCACACCCCCACTTTCATACTTAAGGATCATGACCAGTAGAACAGCATGAGGATAGTCCAAAAACCAGTTTCAGATCTCTAGTACAAAAGAAAGCCAAAAAGAGCCACTTTAACCAGCATGACAAAAAGAAAACAAAACAATAATCACCAAGTAGTACTTTCCCAACCAGTTAATTGAAAAAGAAGGCCAAGAGAGAGAGGAGACAATGAAGAAACCAAACTGTTATACCACCTTCATTGTCAAGCAATCAATTGAAACAATAGAACAGCCAAAGACTTGGACCAGAAAATGTAATTATTACAGTACACCTGATATAACTGAAACATATGCAACTTTAAAAACAGCAAGGAGATAATAATAATATGTTACGGTGTGAAATCCTTCCACAACCTCAAAAACATGGAAAAGTGATGCAAATAAATGGTTTCATCCAACCAAAGTGATTCAATTACTGGGAAATATGAATCAGAACTTGCAAAGCAAATTAATAAAATCAAAAAGAAAAAACAAAGCACAAAATTATAAAGCTCAATCAATAGATTTATAACCTATTATATGGGCTTCAGATCCCATGAAAAGTTTTGCAATATATTCAATTACACACCCAAACCAGCAATCAGAATTTCAAAGTTTGGAGAACTAGAAAAGATACAGCAAAACCCAATTCACAAACACCAAAGATGAGCCAAAATATTTTGAAGTTCAGATCAGACACTAAGCAACCTCTATGTGAAAATTAGGGAAATCCACAGAACAGATCACCATCCACATCAAAACAACAACCTATCTATGAAGAATTTAATCTCCATTGGTACAAACAACAGATATTGTGGAACACTATATTCATCATCACAATGTTTCTGCAGAATCCATACCCTCGAATCACATAATCATCAGATAAAGTCATAGCCTCAAACCAGATCATTTCAACAAAAAATTAGACACCACAACAACCCATCATTCACACACAAGTATAGATCAGATCTCAAAAACCAAAGATCTAAACTTTTCTATTAGTGATCCAAATGTGAATGAACAGATCGATTAGAGAAATGATCGATTCAACCCTTACCGATAGATATGGACCACCTTCGATATATTTGTCTGCGTAGATCTAAAAACTATGAAACGAAACTACAATTGACCCACAAATCTTGAGAAATTGATAAGAAAGATGGAATGAACTTATTTCAGAGAGAGAGAGAATTGTACCTTCAGAGGCCTTGTTGGTCTGCAATGTCGGTCTGTGAGCGGGAGCGAGTCTCCGCCGTTTGCTCTGTGGAGCCAAAGAGAGGGCGAAAGGTGGAGAGAGAATCGAAGAGTGAGTGGCCTACGTGCAGCGAGAGAACTTACGCAATCAGACAACTTTGAAATTTGCAATAAAATAAAGTGCTTTTATTTTACCGAGGCCAAACTTTCGTTCGGCCGTGCTGTGTGACATAAGCTTCTTCGAAATTTATTTTTGTTTTTTTGTTTTTTTCAACTTAAAACCAGAAGTCCATGAAAAATAGTAATTGAAAATTTGTAAATAGTGATTGTACCTCAATCGAATTTTAGGGGTTGTTTGGGATGACCTAAATAAGTGTATTTTTTATTTTTTTATGAAAAGATGTGCAGAAAAGTAAAGAGGTGATGTGATGAAAAGAAGATAAAAAGATGAATTTTTACATATGATAAGCGAGAGAATTTTAGTCTGTCTGCATCGTCTAAATTTATATATGATAGTCATTTGTCCAGTCGTTCGATCAGTTATTCGATAACAAAGATGACATTCGTGATTAATAATGGTGACAATCGCAATTTACGAGAGTTACATCGATGTCTAAGTGGTCGATCAATATGTACAAATTTAAGTAATTTGAGTAAATACAAATTTGATGGATAAATTATTTTTTATTTGTAAATTGAGTAATTCAATTCACATGCCACTAGTCAGGCCTTGTTTGATTACCAGATTAAATTACATACAAAAATGCTAAGATACCGTTTGACAAATTTATAGTTTACTGTTTTTAATTTATAAAAGAATTAAGTTGTCTCTAATTGAAAGTTGAACGGAATCAAACAGTCGAAGTATCTGACCGTTAAAGGTTTATGAAAATATAATCCCGCTTCAATTTTTTCAAAGACTCTTATTGGTGAGAGACAAATCATTCCTTTTAAAAATATATATATATTAAACATGTTAATGTTTTATTTTTTGTAAAAATGAATAAAAAACGGGTTTAGTACTACTACAACAAGCTGGGTCTTGAATGACGAAATTTTTTTGTCTCCAAAGAGCTAATTTCGTCACTATAGATATTTGTAAGGAAATATTTTTGTCACCGGTTTCGTTATTGAATGTTTGTCACTAAAAATCACCGTGACGAAAAATAATTTCGTCACCAATGAAATTACTTCAGTGAAGAAATTTTTTGTCACCAATAAAACAACATTTTGTAGCCAAAAATTCTCATTTTCGTCATCAAATAGTTATTCAGTACTACATTTATGACTTTAGTTGACGAATAAATTTGTCACGCATGTTGATCATTGATGAGGAAATAATTTCGTCACAAAAAGATGTAAAGGTGAGGAAATTTTTCGTCTTCAAAAGTCAACATTTTTTGCCACCAATAAAACAACATTTTGTTGTCAAAAATTCTCATTTTCGTCACCAAATAGTTGTTCAGTACCATATTTATAACTTTAATTGACGAATAAATTTGTCACGCATGTTAATCATTAATGAAGAAATCATTTCGTCACTATAAGATATAAAGGTGACGAAATTTTTCGTCTTCAAAAGTCATACATGGGTAACGAAATATATTTCGTCACAAATATATATATGCGTGACGAAATTTTTAGTCACCAAACAACAAAATAAATAAAAACTTTCATATATAAACTGCAGTAAATTTTGTCACAAAAAAAGTTTATTAGTGACGAATAATCACTTTGTCATAATAACAAGTACAAATGACGAAAAAATTCGTCACTAAACTTGTTCCATATTTTATATTCAATTTAAATTATTATTTCACAAATATCTCTGCTCATATCCTAATAGTCTTTTAATTGTACTAAGAAATCCACTAGCTATTATACATCACTCTACAAAAAAATTCACTAAACGATTTATATTATAAATCAAAATATATCCATCAAACAACTTTAATAATAATTCATTAAGTATCACAAAAAAACCATCAAAGCAAATCCCAAAATGAACTAACATGGAGTCCACAAAAAAAAATCAACACTCAATCTTGATTTGCAACTACAACTAAACATCAGTTTAGGAAAAAAAATTCAACAGTTGATCTTCATTTGCAGGTATGCTTCGGAACGTCATCAAATTCAATCTGCAAAGAAAATAAACAAGGCAAACATTAATATATTATTAATTACATCTAAACTCATATATGAATAATTTTATTTTATAAACCAATTTAGTAGAAATGCATATAACAATTCAAAACTTCAAAGAGTTGAAGTGATCCTTGTTTCTCAAAACGATTTGCCGGATTTGGACTCTTTGGTTTAGATTAAGAACCGTGACACAAATTGAGTCCGAACTGTAGTAGCATGAGGCCCACGGGCGCGTCTACAGTCATCAAAATCAATCTGCAAAGAAAATAAACAAGGCAAACATTAATATATTATCAATTACATCTAAACTCATATATGAATAATTTTATTTTATAAACCAATTTAGTAGAAATGCATATAACAATTCAAAACTTCAAAGAGTTGAGGTGATCCTTGATGATAAAGCAATACGGATAACATAAGATGACAAAAGATCGCAAGAATACCATATATCACTATCACTAATGGCAGAATATATATAATAGCTCCAAAATATAACGTAGCATTGAGGTACATTTGATTCACGACAATGGGCCAATGACTTCTTCAATGAGGTAAATTTGATTGGTGAAATTCAACACAAGAACCTTGTAAGACTTTTGGGTTGTACCATTGAAGCCCCTCAATGCCTTCTTATTTATGCCAATTTGCATCCATGTATAAAGTAAAACAAACCCCTCAGTCCTAGTCATTACAACAAAGTTGACAATGATGGATGCATTTCAACTAAACTTCTATGAAATATGAAAAACAAACCTCATGTTTACAGTGTATGCATTTTCAACAAAAAGTTGGGATTAGAGAACCCCAAAGAAAGGATTACTACTTGTGTTGTTGGACATGGGTATTACTTGCAGGCATGGACGTGGAGGAAAGAGATGGAGAGGTATGAAAATCCGGGAAACAACTATAGGTATCGCATAAATTTTAATATACTTAAATGGATTGAAAAAGAAAAACATAAAAAGATACTACTATTTTTGTAAATTTCTGTTTTGCTTCTTAATCTTAATTTATGAGCCGGAAATCTTTACTAACCCAATCTAGTGTAAAATACAAACAAATTGGCAAGTTTAATTCCTAGATTTATGTTTGCTGGCCTTTGCTGAGGCATTCTTAACTATACCATTTGCTTCAACTGGAAATTTTGGACCCGGAAAAAGTAAAGCAAAGAGCTTAGTCAAGTAGAGCCGGGTTGATTGGGATTGGCAGCAAACACTAGTCTATGTGTTTACAAGCTTAATCTTGTTCCAGTCCCCACTCGTTACCATCTCATTTACCTAAAAAACTAGCACTAGAAGATGGTTTTTTTGTAATGAAAACTTTCTGGTCACAAAGATGGAAACAATAGGAAGCAACACCACCCTCCACCCGAATTAGGGCCTACTTGCCAACCTTTTAAAATTTGCTTCAACTGGAAATTTTGGACCTGGAAAAAGTAAAGCAAAGAGCTTAGTCAAGTAGAGCTGGGTTGATTGGGATTGGCAGCAAACACTAGTCTACGTGTTTACATGCTTAATCTTGTTCCAGTCCCCACTCGTTACCATCTCATTTACCTAAAAAACTAGCACTAGAAGATGGTTTTTTTGTAATGAAAACTTTCTGGTCACAAAGATGGAAACAATAGGAAGCAACACCACCCTCCACCCGAATTAGGGCCTACTTGCCAACCTTTTAGAATTGACTTCAATTTTTCTACATCTGAAATGGCACTGACAATAGGATTAACATTAATCTTAATTCTGGAAACCCCATAATTTACTTTTAAATTACTTATCGTATCAAGAGTTCCAATGATTGAGTAAATATTTTATACTACTCTGAATTATGATGCTATTAACATAATGTTGTAACAATGATTAAATTTTTTTTTCATAAAATTGCAATTTGTAAAATGCTAAAGATCTGTAAACATTTTCATCTTTAAAAGTTACTTTCTTTGATACTATCCTGTGCATTGCAAATCGCATTGTTCAACAGCTATAGAAATATTAACTTTGCATAGAAACTATAAGGGCAGTTTGGTTATAAACATAATTTCTTCCTCTTGCTACTTGACATAAGAAAACTTTAGTTTTTTGTCGGGGGATGTTGAATAAGAGCAAATCAACTAAATCTTGGGACACATAACCAAGAGATAGATGTATCCTAGATGAAGATATTTGTTCTCCTATGAACTTAATGATTTTCTTGTTTTTTGAAAAAAAATATATGTATATAGATAAAACATATGAACATACCTTTTAGGGAAAAATAAATTGCAAGGTGGCTTTTGGGGAAAAACATAGTTCCAGGTTTCAAAATAAGCAGACGAAAATGAAGACTTAGTTGATGAGACGTATTACAAGGAGCTGGTGGGTAGTTTAATGTATCTCACTGCCACGAGACCGGACATGATGTTTGTTACTTGTCTCACAAGTACATATATGGCAAAACCAATGGAAATTCATCTACAGGCAGCTAAGAGAGCACTTTGATACTTAAAAGGGACTGTCATTATAAGAAATGAGGAGATGGTGAGTTGTTGGCGTTTACGGATAACGACTATGCCGGAGATATTTAAGACAAAAAGAGTACATCTGGTTACGTGTTTTTAATGAGTTCAAGTGTTGTTTCATGGTGTTCAAAAAAGCAATACAATGCAAAAGAATAATTAAAGCAAATAAAAAACAGCAGCAATCATAAAGTGATATACAAACCTGACCAACCCACTGTCTGAGACTCAATAAATGTTCATTCATTTCTACTACTGTGAAAAACTCAATCAGAGAGACACCCTTTATTAATCACATCACTAACTTAGAGCAACTCCCAACACTGCCTAGCAAAAATACACAAAAAAGTAAACACATAGTTTTGTCTCTACTTTGGTTAGTGTGTATTTTAACTAGGGTCATGCTAAGTAAGAATTTTGATAATGAATCTATTTTCATTAAATACATCTTCAAATTTGTTAAATCTTAGTCAATAAGTAGTCAAACTGCTGTACTTTAACTAGTATATACTAACCAACATGAGAAAAATAAAATGATAAAATGAGCGAGACTTACCAAAAAGGCAATGTACGAGTTCATGAGATACCTCCTCCTCTAAATTGTCCTTTGAAACCTTGCTTCTTAAGAAACTCCATGATGCTTGATGTGATCTCAAAATGCTCATCAATCGACCCATTCATCTTCCCTATCTCTTTATTTTGTGCTTGAATTTCCTCTTTTTGTACTTGAATTTCATGTTTCTGTGCTGTAATTTCTTCTTTATGTGACTGAATTTCTTCTTTTTGTGACTGAATTTCCTCCTTTTGCTCTTGTATTTCCATCTCTAGACGCCTCACATAGTCACTGTCAGTCGAAGCACTAGTAGACCTGACAGAGAAGGAACGCCTCAATCCGAGTCCTTTAACATATCCCGACCTTGGCTTCAGCACCTTCACAGATAGCTCCTCTGGAGTAATTGTAACCACACCAGGTTCGAAGCAATGTTCAGCTTGGATCTTTATCATATTATCTTGTCATTTTATAAATAAAAAAAATAAAAAAATGAATAAAGATACAATTAAAATTGCAATCATCCTAATACAAAAGGTAAATATACATACATAATTCTTTTCGCACATCGGAGAAATCCACTGCTTTGTGACATCATTAAAGTGTGTAGATTTGTAAACACATGGCAACTCTGGCAGTTGGCCCTCATTTGCAATTGTCTGATTTTTTTTGTTCAATTAGTAAGTTAAATAAGAACGATGGTAGTAGAATCATCTTTAAAAAAAAAACGGAAAAAAAATTAAAGAAGACCCACCACCTTGTGTACCCTAACTGGGAGAGATTTTGACCCACATCTATGCTTCGTCTTCAATTGATCTCTATTGTCAATGTTAGCATTTGATTGCTTCTACAAGGAGCAAGTTCCAATAGAAAAATATATATATTAGGAAGATAAGGTAATTGTCAACAATAAATAAACATAAGAAAGTTTACCAGCCAATTTGTATCATTCTACTTCTTGTCAATCAAGTTTTTCCATTTCTCGAGGTCACATTCAGGCGGTGGGTGGCTTCTAGCACACTCCTCTCCCTTAGCACTTTTAAGGTACAGGTATTTTTTTCGTAGTCTGTAGGTGTGGCTACTCAAGCTCCGTCCACACTTTGTTGCCACCACTTTCCTAACATTAGTGGATTCACCTTCCATGTCAAATTGATCCTAGCAACAGCCACAAATCTTGTAAGTCATAATTAATTATATTACATTAATTCAATCAATTATGTAAAACTTTTACCGTTAGATGCTGAAACATAGGTGCCGTAACTTCTTCATTGACATGTTTCCACCTGCGAATGCTAAAGTCTGGCAAGTGTGTTCGGACCTCAACACCAATTTTGGAGACTAATTGAGAGGCATGATCCCCCACTGGCGCACGATACTCCTGTGCTATGGGAACTTTGAGCTTTCCATCTTTTTGAACCATTGCTTGAACCTTCAACCTGCGTGTCAAGCCATGAGGGTGTCTACTAGGCACTGTTTTAAAGACATAACATTGGCTGGTTAGCAATTAATTAAAGCGAAATCATAAAAGCAATATAAGTAGCTTTTTTTTTTTTAGTAAGTCATAAAATAAAATGATAACATATAGAGATATACGAGGGGCATTCCCTAGGCCTTACAACAGCAAACCAAACAAAAAAAACTAGAGCTATAAAAGAGAAACAAAACCAAACAGATAAACTAAACTAAATAAACTATAAAGAGAATCATCCTAAAATTAACCACACAAAAGAATGTTCATTTGCCACATGAGAAAAAAAGGGCTATGAACATTCAATAGACTAGCCAAAAACAATACAAAATACACTTGCACAACCCTCAAGAGAGAAAAAGCAAGCAAAACTAGAAAATAAACCCAAGAAAATCCCTGCACAAACAGCACTAGCAGCAACCACACAGGTACAACTGTAGCTTTCTTCCCTACTCTCAAGTTGATGCTTTTCATTTCTCAAGTTATTTTCTCTTTTTCACAGTTATATTTGTTATTCTATTTTCTTGTTTCTTCACTCTCTTTACTCTTTCCTACATCTGTAGCTTTTTCGTTCTTCTCTGTTACTGCCAATTTTTTCCCTACTCTTTGTTTCTGTTCAGTCTCTCCTATACAGCTGCTGCTTTGTTCTGCAGTTGTTGCAGCTGTTGCTTTTTTTCCTTACTGCTATTGCTTTCTATTCACTAGTCTCCTTCTCTCTTTCTCCTATACAACATTAGTCTCCTTCTCTGTTTTGGTAAGTGGTTCAGCTACTCTCACCACAATTTCAGTACCTTGGGTGCTTCCATCAGTGGTGATGAAGTGTTCTTTACCCACAAATTGCATAATTTTTTAGGCTCAAGATTGACTGTGATTACCCCAGTGAGGACCTTTATGCTGGGCTATACCCTGGCCTCTATGCTGTTAAACCAATATCGTAAGCTTGGCTACACAATTTAACCTAAGATTTCACATAACCCAGATTTTACAGGCCTACTCCCATCTGGGATCCAACACAGCAAATATGAAATTTGAGCATATCACAATAGTGTTCTAAATTTAAGCATTTAAACAAAAACTACAACTTGGAAAAATGTATTATAGTGTAGTGCAACAAAGACAAGGCAACAATTAAAGATTAAAGTCTAGAAAATTTCGAGGTCCAGTTCTTCAGTTAGCAAAATCCTCAAGTGCATTAAGTCATTACCACCCGGTAAATCCTCATCACAAAGGAAGCAACCCAACAAGCAATTCACGTAAAAAGCCCAACAATTTCTCCTTAAAAAAATTCAATATGAGCAAAGAAATGAAATCAAAATTTTGGTCCTCAGATTCTTCAATAACTAATTCCACAACTTCATAGATAGAGGCAGACAGATATTTTCACCGAATTAAAGCACAATGGAAACTATTGGAAAGGTTTTCACTCTCTTAGAAACCACAGTAGCATGATGGCACAAAAGAACAACATTTTATTTTATTTTCTATTTCCCCTCTTTCTTACATTTTCTCAGCTACCAAACAAAGAAAATCCTTAAAAAAAATTTAAAAAAATAAATAAATAAAAAACACTTCATCACCACTGGCCTTTACCCACAAATTGCATAATTTTTTGGCCTTGTGCTGAAGACAAACAAAGAGTATGGAAGAAAGTGGTAGTAACAGAGAAGAACAAAGAAACTGCAAGGTAGGAAAGATTAAAGAAACAAGAAAATGGAAGAACAAATATAACTGTGAGAACAAGAAAACAACGTGAGAAAGGAAAAGCATCAACCATGAAGTCTCTAAAATTTTTCAAATCAGCCAATCTTGAAAAAATGTTTACAATTCAAATTTAAAAGGCTGTCAAAACAAATGTGAGAAGCCATCCAAAATAATGTCAAAACATCTTTAAAAGCAACTATATAAGAACCTAGAAATGATATTTTAGTTTAAAATTGAACAGTCTTTGACAGTTTAAAAAATTAAATAATTGTTAATCATGAACTGTAACACAAGTGAATAAGTAGACATTTTGACAGAAGGTAATATGTATGTATGTATGAACAAAACAAAACTTACAAGAGTTAAACTAGGGTATACCCCAGCACTTTTTACAGCAAAAAAAAGAAGAAGAAAAAGATCAAACCCTATGAAACAAATTGCTTGAAATTTTTTGCACCATAGAATTATATTAAAATAGAGAATTTCTTTAGCTTAGTAAAATTCAGTATCTTACCGACACTAGATTGTGTGGCTGCCTCTCTCGGTGCCTCCATATCGACATCAAGTGGCTGTGAGTGTTGGGTATCCACATTGTCATGTAAATCCCCATTTGGAACAACAATTGCCTTGTGCAAAGGTTGAAGAGATAACTGCGCCAATCGTTTTGGTGGCATTGGTAAGCCCTAAAAAACATAATACAAAAGCATAAACAATAAATACATAAAAATGGATAAGTAAAGATATGTATATGGAAACTCATCAAGGCCACTGTTGATATTTGTAATCTGATCCCATCCACTCCTTTTCTTCCCAAGACTGGTCCTGACAATTGGTTGCTTTGAATATTTTTAAAATGGTCAGGTAAAGGGTGTTGTCACTCAAAAACCTGTAGGCAAGTTGAGTGGTTGTGAGCTACCAGTAGGTCAGGTAAAGGCTCCTAATTGTGTGCTTTGCAAGTTGTCAATCTGGCCTCTTCTTATGGAAAGTGGGTTGAGTATCTGTGAGCATATAAATAGTTTGAGGAAGAGGCAACCTGGAAAATCGGGCTACAGCTAGGGGCCATTCTCTATGGAATTCCTTATTGGATAGTCCTAGTTTGAACATTGAAGTTGATGTTATAGAGGTTGTCAAGTGGACCAGGTTGCATCTTGCGCCAGTTCCAGCAACAGTCCTAGACTTGCTGAATCCCTCTGGCAGGTAGTTCATGCTGTGGTGAAGTTGGTGATCAATCAGTTTGGCATGTGTTTTACTGATATTATGAGGGCCAGGCTGCACACATGCACTAATCCTAGTATTGGTGTTTCCAACATGGTCAAATTATGTCTTATTTCGTTATAGCTGAGTAGAACCCATCAAAGAAGCTGCTATACGCTTCAATTGTAGAGCATCCATTTTCTTATTATTCTTCTTGATTGTCTTATATCTTTCCATTTCATACTCTGTTCGCTTCTGTTTCACTAGAAAACCTGGTTCAATCCATTGTTTCACCCCTTTGGCCATTTTGGTAACTAAAAAGCATAAATTTATGTAAAACATAAAATATAAAGCATAATTTTACTCGAAGAGACAACAAAATATAGCATAACCATGTAATGCATTAAAAACATATGTCCATATAGAAACCTAAAAAAAAACAAAAACTACATATCATAATCCATATCAGGTTCCATATCAGGATCCATATCATCATTAAGTATGCCAAGTTCTTCATCTTCTTCGTCATCTCTACCATCTCTCTTTGTTTTATTTGGAATAACCTCAGCTTCAATATCATCCCTATGAAATCGAATAATATCTTCAATGTTGATCGGGACAACTGAGTTAATGTTTTCTTGTTGGAATGCATCATTAAATTCTGGTTGATCTGGTGGTTCTCCATCACCAACCTTTGGCACATCAAACACTCCTCTATGTTGGACCTGTTGCACGACTTGCCAAGGTTGCCCCTATTTGGTGTCATTCAGGTAGAACACTAGTTTAGCTTGACTAGGCAAGATAAAAGGGTCAAATTGATACCATCGACTTGTGACATCAATGCTTGTGCAATATGTGTCAGCTCATACAGTTCTACTTCTACCAGCGTTACCTGTGTTGTACCATTCACATTGAAACAAAACAACTTTATTTTGACACATGTACTCAAATTCCCAAATATTGCACAAGTGACCGTAGAATTCGTGCATCTCTCCCTTGTAGTCCCCTTCGGTAAGCACACCACTGTTTTGACTCTTACGACGATTGTCTAATTCCTTCGTATGGAATCTTACACCATTGATTATACAACCC